GTCCTTCTCGCAGGGTTGTAGCATATGGATGCGGGTTTGTGCGTGCGCGTGTGGCATATGGCATATTTCTACAGCGCTGCAGAAAATCATTGCAAAACCACCGAATCACATTTAATCCGCGCGGTTTACAGAAGTCTTAATTTAGAAATTGGTGTCGGGGTTGTGAGCTGAAATACACTCCGGAGGCAGAAGTTTTATAATTCAGAGTTAGAAGATTACTTCCTCTATGGCCCCTCAGGTGCACTGCGAGCGTGACGCCGAAAGAGGACACCATTGCTTCTTTACGTGCCTGTCAGGGGCGTTTCCAGAGTTTATTAAATGGGGTGGGACTGCTGTAACAGATATTCAGGCTTATATGCAGTCCTCTTATTTTATGTTGAGTATGTCAAGTTTTTGTTTTCTTCTTCTCTTCTGTTGTCACTTTTACTTTCTGTCTTATGTTCCCTTCTTTCTGATTTGTCCCGTCTACATTCATGCCACCTGTACGGAATATAATCATAGACTTCCTTTATTCGCAGGCAGATCATCGTCTGCTTTTTGTAGTCCAGCGTTCTTTAAATTCCTTCTGTGCTTCTGGATGTTTCATAGAATTTGCATGTTGCTTGTTTGGATTGTTTGTTGATGGTGTCTGATTCCCTGTATGTAACCACTGCTTGTTTTTGATTAAAGTTCTGGATTTTTGGACTCTTATTCTGTCTTAGAACAATAGGTGGGTGCTCTTGCTCCTGCAACTCTTACAGAATCAGAACAGACCCTTTTATTTAAATATTAAGTAAATTCTACTAAAATGATAAATGTTATACATCAAAATTATTTTTAAGATGAAGGTATTAATTTTTTGCATTTGCCTTTTAATTAAATCCATACTCACCAGCATTAGAACTGCCTTAATTCTTCACTGAATAGATTCAACACGTTGCTGGAAACATCCCACACAGATTTCGATCCATGTTGACATGTTGCTGCAGATTTATTGCTCAGTTTTGATGCAGTTTTTATCTGAAGTCGCATCCAGTGTGGTCTTCTGCTGTCGTCCATCTGCTTCAAGGTTCAATATGCTGTTCATCCAAAAGTGCTCTTGTGCATACCCTGGCTGTAATAAGTGGTTACAAGTGTTTTCCTGTTAGTCTGAAGTAGTCTGGACATTCTCCTCTGACATTAAAAAAGGCATTTTCACTCAATGGGTGTTTTCTGTTTTTCAGTCCTGTATACCCTGGAGATGGTTGTTTGGGAAAATCCCACTACCCAAAAAAATAAATGCAAATGCAGTGTGGTCTACACCCCTGAATGGAATAGTTTGCTGAAATTTGATTGGTTACATTATTGCCTGTTGAAAAGGTGAGTGTATGTTTAAAGCTAGTCCTTTGTTTGTATTATTAGTATTACTATAATATACCACCAAAGTGACATATTATACACAAACAGATGCACATATTTGCATATAAGCAAAATATTTCATTAAACATTAATTAGTTAATTATTTTGATTTATAGCTTTATTTTCCATAAGCTTATTAATCACTTCAGATTTTGACTAAAAATGACATGAAGCAGGTTTTTAGTGTAATGAAACTGACATTTAAAAAAATTCCAGTAAAGTGTGTGCATCACAGAGCCAGTGAAATCACAACAAACATTTTTATTTTTGCTTGCATTTCTTGAAACCTTTATTTAACACGTCAAAATGGTAAAATATTCAACTATTATTGTACGGACGATAATTTAAATAAATACCATGATTAATTATCATTAACAAATGCAATAAGCGGTATCATCAAAGAAAGAAAGACCTAAGACTTTTTGTCTTTTTTTTCCGTAGTATTTCAGTGTTTTTTCTTCTTCTATAGATTACAGGGGAGGTTACATTTAAATAAATGCATTAATAAGTAAATAAGCAAACAGCAAAGTTGATTATTTTCATTTGGCATCATCGCAGTTATCTGTGAAAACTTTCAATTTGTACAATCATTTCTGCAAAGTGCGTTGTGACGGTCTCACAAAAAAGGGTTGCAATGGTTTAATTTGTCTTTAAATTTACTGCCTAAAAGTATTTCTTTCATCACAAGGAGAAGAAATTTAAAAAAACAAACAAACCCAGAGGCATCCCATTATTAGATATCGTCATAAAAAAACAACAACAACAACAAAAAAAATCTCTATGGCACTACATCAGGATGCTTGATATGGTTTTTAGACGCTGCTGTAACATCTGAAACTTTACGTTGCACTGTATTAACTGTTTAAATACCATGTTGTAAGTAATGCAAAAACCAGTTTACACAGCACAGTGTAAATGAAATATTTAAATCAAACCTAACTGGTGCGATGAGTAGTGCTGAGCAATGTTTCACCTACAAAACCCAAATAGCAGAACAAGGACCGCGAGCCTGTCTGCTGGGTGCAGTAGTAAGGCAGTCAGCACAGCCGATAACATTTAAAAACTGTCGTGGTGAAAAACGCTGCTACAAGAATGACTTTCAAATCAATTGTCTTGAAGGTTTGTTTATCACAGTGCGAATTGTTCCAACTTCCAGTAACCTTCCCAACTGTAAAGTCTGTTTCCAGTCATATCCGGTAATTCAGAGGTTTCAAAGCAAGCCGTCTTGCTCAAAAACGGAGGGCAGCAGGGAGAAGTCGAAGGGCACAAACTTGACACCGGTCCCGTGGTAGAATTTGTTTTGAAACTCCACCCTGAGATCAAACAGAAAAGCGAGAGAGATCACTTTAACAAAGGTGGACTAATTAACGATGAAGGCACACCTGATTTTCAACTCAGTATTATCATAACTGATGCTTTTACTTTATAGCTAAATAACAGGCATGATTATATTCAACTTATCTGCTGCTTTAATAGTGAAGACACGTGAGCTTCCAGTTTAGCTACATGAAAATAAAAGAACTGAAGAAAATAATATTTGCATGTTTTCATGGGTAAACAGGTGAATACATTCACATGTGTTTCTAGCAGTCATAGCATTGATTACTGGTTTGATATTATTATATTTGTAGTCTTCCCACTGTCTCCCTGTCTTGTTTGTATGCTCTATGTTATTACGTTTAGGGCTAGTCTTGTCTCCAGTGTTTTCTTTTGTTTATTTCCTGTCTGAAGCTTTCTTTCACCTCTTGCACTAGTTTAACTTCCTGCTTCATGATTATCTGCCCTAACTGTCTTCAGCTGTGTGTAATTACTTTCATTTGTGTCTCGTGTCTCTTGTTTACCATCCCAAATTAATCCTCTGTGTACACTCAGCCCTGTCTTCCTTATTATTTTCACTGGATTTTCCTCCTGTGAGCCATTTGACTCCAGAACTATCTTGATTCACAGCTGATTTTTAGCTTTTTGCTGTTTAGTTCATGGCTTGTACTTATTTTAAATTGTGTTTTTAGTTTGTATTTGGGTCCAAAAAAGAAAGGATGACAGTTACAGTCTACAGCATCATAGTAAACTCAGTCTTACACTCAACATTAAGGAAACTGTAAGTTTGCCTCTTCTTTAAGGCTCAATGACTCAACAAAACCAAAAACAACAACAACAACAATAAAAAAAAGTCCCTGCATTGAGACTTCTTAGAGGTTATTTCATGACGGAAAAAGTTTCCTGACATCTTCACGTGTAAGTTAATGTTTCAGCTCTCGTTCAAAACCAAAAGCTACATTAACCAAGCCCCTTATAATGATTCACAAATGAAAAGGAGATTAAAAATGTTAGACAATCATTATTTCAAAAGATTGTTGATCATAAACTCATCATGAAGCTACAGTTACAGAGCTTGTGTGACGTGGAGCTGTGCAGCATACAAAGCTGACCACTAAAGGAGATAGAGCTTTTGCCACAGAGGCCCACAGACTGGAACTTTCTCTAATCTGAAATCTGTGGACTCTGTACTTTCTTTAAAAAAGCAGATAAAAATGCTTTTTAAAATTTGCCTTGGTAACTTTTTATTTTTGTATGTTTTTGTTGTTCATCATTTTTTTTCTGTGAAGCACTTTGTGATATTTGTCTTGATAGGTGCTATATAAATAAATTTTTTTACTTCCTTACATAATCAGGCTTATATGAGTTTTTAGCTCAAGAACACAAACAAATAGTACCACTACCTCTGCGCTCTTATACGAGATATTTAAACTAATTTGGGAAAACAGCCTTTTCTGTTGGTTGGTGACTTTAAGCTTGTACTGTTTTTTGTTAATTGTGTTAATTTTTAAGTATTTTAAACGCCTAGGCTTTAGGGCAGGAGTGCCAATCTCATTTAACATTGCAGGCCACATTGATCTTAAGTGGGTCAGACCAATGAAACTCCCCTTTCTATCAGTGTGAGGAAGTTTAACTACATATTGGATTGCTCAGATATCTTGATATATGAAAAAGAAGTGCAATTTTAACAGTCTATCACTGTTTTTTCTACATGATAACAAATGTTCATGTAGTAAATGAAAGACATCTTTGGGATATAAATTAGAAATAAATGTGTTAAGTTATAAAAAAAAAAGTTCTGGTAGCTTATTGGTAATTAAATTGTTTATCTATACTTCATTACTTTGGTGTAGCATAAATGGACATAGGGGAAGACTTTGTCAGGCTCACTGAAAGGTTTTGGAAAATGTGAAGGGTCAAATTTTTTAAAACATCTCTTTGAGTGAGGTTAGAGTCTTTCAGGCCAATTCTGGCCCCTGGGCCTTATGTTTGACACCGCAGCTCTAGGGACTGGCACTGAAATGTAGCTATATTATGTATAAATATCCCATCAATGCTTTGGTTTGTGGTGTTGCTCATGCTAGGTTCATCAACATAAGTAGGGGCCAACCTACACATTACACCTACAGGAGCTGCTCAGTCGCGCATGCCATAAAGCTCCCAGTGCACAGTTTTTGTGCTGATGTTAATATCAGACGAGGTTTGGAACTCTGCAGTTACTGAGTCAGAGAGTGTCGGTGGTTCCACCGTTCCACTATGAAGTAATACATCTCTCA